CTGTTTCTGCAGCCTCACCACGTCCTTTTGGGAATGTCCCCAGCCTCAGGGTGGGTTTTCTCAGGCTGGGTTTTCTCAGGCTGGTTCCCAGTGCAGGGCTAACCAGCATGGAGTTTGTTTTGCTCCTCTGGGCAGACTTGCCTGTGTCCCTGTGCAAGCTCGACACAGGTGATGATGAAGATGCTGGCATTGAACTTGGGGAGAGAGGGGGTATGTCTTGGTGCCAACACTTGGTTAGCTTGGCCTTAGTGAGGCTGCCCATAAATTTGGGAATAAAAGACTCAGGATTTCTATGTGCTTGGTGGACAACTAGTGCAAGTGCAGTGGGCTTAGCAATCCACTTGCTGCTCCTGCTGGGACGGCCCTACTCAGCATCAGCTCGTGTGGGTCTCGCTGGGCTCCCAGCTCCCGGCTGTGTTTATGTTTTATTGCTCTTATTATCCTGTTCTTCCTCCAGCTGCATTTTAATTCCTTGCTTAGAATGACTTCGTTCCTTGGCAAAGCACCAAGTAATGTTTTGTCAAGACATCCCTTTTTTCATCCTAATTTTGACCAGTTGGAAAAGTCACATTTTTAATGTCAGGAAACTAAGTTTTGAATTTCAGCAAAAGAGTGATATCATTTTTCACGAGAGGGTGAAAGCATTCCCACTTCTCAATCAGCTCAGTGGAGGCTAAAGCTGAGCTGTCTGCCATCTGTCTCCTCGCCAGTCTCTCTTCCACCATCATCACTTTTTAACAGGTTGGCCAATTTCAATCACATTTGAGCGAAGGGTAACTGTCTCAAAGGCAGTTTTGCTTCTGCAAATTTTGTCAGCTGGCAGAAGATGGTTTAGAGGGAAGCAGAAAGAAGTAGGTTTGATGGTCAAGGGTTAGTCAGCTGGTCCATCATGACAGTGTAAAGCTCCAGACAAGCTTCAGCATGTGCTGACTTTGGTGCTGTCTCTGGTTGAGCTGTGGCTGTCCAAGTGGACGTGGTGGAATTTGTTTGGGGGTGGTGGGGAGGATGTAGGGAATAAAGAGCACAAATAAGTAGGAAAATGAACTTCATTAGTTCTGCTCTTCCCCAGCTTGTTTCAGAAGGTTTTTTAAGTGTTTTTAAAATGTAAGGAGGTAAAAAATAAATTTTCAAATTTTAAAATACCAACAAATTTTCTTGTACAATGAACTGGGAGATAGAGGAGAAAAATAGAGTTCTAGTACTGGAAGGGTAGAAAGAGAAAGAGCTAGTATTTTAAAATTAAATGCAAAGGCTTCATTCTAGATGCAGGTAGGATTAGCCTCCCTAGGCATCCAGTCCCTCTGAGGCTGGCCAACTGTTGGGAGGCATGAACAGGGTCCAGAAACTGGAGCTGCTCATCTTCATTTGCTGTTACAAGCCAATGGCTGGGAAAGCTTTTGAGGGTCTGTGTCTGATGGAGACAGCTGAGCATGCCAGGCCAGGGATAAAACCTGGTCCAGGATGTAGCTCCTCACATCTGAAAGTTTTCAGGTACAAATGCTGAATGTTTTGGGTATATTTTATCTTTTGAAAATACCTTCTGCATGCTGTGTTTAGAAATACAGTACCTCTGTAGGCATTTGCTGCCTGAGAGGACTGGTGCTTTTGTACACACCTTTTGAATGTTTGGTGCTTGAATTCACTAATTTAATTAACTTCTTCTTTACCACTTGACTTGAGGAGACACAACTGTTTTGAAATGAAGGAACTGATTTTTTTTTCTAATTTTGTGAGACAGTTAAAGTAAAGTAGATGCTAATGTTCTGGGCTTTTGTATTCCCAATTGCTCTAAACCATTTTAAAATATACATATGCTATAACACTGACTATGCCAGGCAATCCTGCTTTCAAAAGTCTAAACTAAAAGAAAAAAGCTGCTCTTCTGTTTTCTGCCTGTCCGGGTTTTATCTTACGCAGTACACATTTAAAGTCTTATCTTCTCAAATAATATCACTGTCAATAGGGACTTTGATCCCAGTTCACAGGTCTGTTTAATTTCCGTTGCATTGAAACATTGTGCATTGCAGCTGGACAGTGATTCCCAACCAGGCATCCCTGGCAGAGGGGAAAACTCCTCTTCAGACAAGGAGGGGAGGTGATCTCTCATGCTCCCATGGCAGGAGGAAGGGGATGGGATGGTTTGGGATGGAGCATCTGCTGTTCATCTTGGCGGAGATCCCTTTCAGCCAGCAGAGCAATGCTGGTTTACACTGACAGGGATCTGTTTCCCTGCACTCTCTGCCCCCTGGGAAAGTGGACAAAGAAAAGTAGCTACATTTGGATTGCAAAAGAATTTCTTCCGGGCTGATCAGGGGTTGGAAATACTTCTTGGAGCCGGCTGAGGAAACATAGCTGACCTTTTGGCTGTAAATTATTGCCTGCTAATAAGTCCTGCTTGTGTGCTGAGAGTAGAGGGGAAGATGTATCTTTGCAGTAGAAGTTGTGTTGAATGTTAAAAAAAAAAATACAGTAAATTTCACGAAGACTGGAGTAAGTGAGGCTGTCGTTCATTCAGCTCTTAGGCACGGAGTAGGTGCTTCTGTGTCTTCCTTTTCTGTCTCTGCTTACAGAAGTGATATTACTGAATTAATTATGACATCTTTGTGAAGAGCTGACGAATCGCTCAAGTCTTCTATTCAGTAGTAGAGAAATGTCAGGTTCATCTCACAGTAAATTTAAAATTACACCAACCTGAACTACTGCTACTGGCAGCATAATAATAAGGTAGGTAATCAAAATCAATTAAATTCCAGTGTCTTCCTATTGTCCTAGAAAATTCAAATTTGAAATTAGTTGGAGTTCATTTGACTTCTCAATAAAAGAAGCAGAGCTTCAGAGATAATTTGAAGTAAGTATATGGCTGTGAGTGATCTTTCCTAAAACTGCAAAGACCAGGAGAGCTGAGTGCATTCACATGTTCATGCATGCTGAGTACCAAACACAGCCAGATGCTCAGAGTCAAGGGAGTAAATGGTTTGAGTCTGTGGCATTGACATGTGTTAGCTGGGACTCAGGCCTGCCAAGACTCAGTTTGTTAAAATTTGGATGAGATATTGATCCAGGGGAATGCCAGTTGAAGTGTGCTTCCATTCCTACCACGTAAGATGGAGGAGGACTAAGCCTGGTACATGCTCCTCTGCAAAGCCTTCTTGGAGACCCTGGAGCAACCAGAGGGAGGGGAACTCCATGTGTCCCACCAGCAGTGATATGCCAAGTTACAACGTGTGTGGGACACCATCTTACAGATCACACGAGAACAGGCGATTGCCCAGGACCTTCAGATGCTGCTAAAATGAATGTTTTCTCATAGCACCTTGCCTTGTTTTTGTCACTGCCTGAGACTTTGAGTCACCTTCAGTAAGATGGAACACGGTTGCCCAGAGAAGTTGTGGATGCCCCATCCTTGGAAGTGTTCAAGGCCAATTTGGATGGGGCTCTGAACAACCTGGTCTAGTGGGAGGTGTCCCTGCCCATGGTAGGGAGGTTGCAACAAGATGATCTTTAAGGTGCCTTCCAACCCCAACCATTCCATGATTTATGGGCTGGATGGAGTGATGGGGATGGGGATGGTATTAGCATGAGTCTCTCAGGAGCTGCAGTGTCATGCACGGTAGTTGTGTGGAAATGGACACAGCTGGGAAGCACAGAAGAAAATTTATTGTCTAAGAAGATTTCCTCTTGGAGAAAAGTCCTGAGCAAAGCCCAGGCTTGGTGCTGGGACTGATCTAAGACAGTATTGTGCTGGTAACTTCACTGCAGCTATTGGCACCAATCTGGCTTTCCAGAAAAACTCATCTTATACACCTCCTTTTCAGCTTGTACAACTCCTCTGGGAATGTCTCACTTCTTCTAGGGAACTTCCCTACACATAGTTGGCTGTACTAACTCTTTTTTAAAAAAGAATTTTTTTAAATATGTTTTTTCATATTCTTCTATCTGCCAGTATTTTCGGGAAAGGGATTTCCCCTCTTTGTCCACACACCTGTCCCTTACACATTTAAGATTGTATTTATTCCTTTTAAACTTTTTCTGGGCCTTGCTGGCTGGACCCTTGGTTATGAGGGTAGGCTGAGCCTGATATCCCACCTATTGCCATAAGGAGGGTGCTCAGCAGTAAAATCCTGCTGTCTGAGTGAGGTGCAGTAGTTGTCCCACCCCACAGCAACCTGCTGTTTTGTTCAGGAGGAGATTTGGGTTGTTTTGCTCTGCAGCTTTTATTCCTGCAGCAATCCAATTTCTGCCCATGGGATTGCAGAGTAGTGCCTCTTTGGGATCATGGGTGTATTTGCCAGGGTGAGACCCAGGGCACAGTGGTGGAACATCCCGAAAGCTCAGGGGAAAAACAGTGTGTGAGGATCTGATGTGGGAATGGAGGAAGAAGGGAGCACTGTAAGTCGGTAGGGAAGAGAATTGTGAGCCAGCGAGAGAGCAGAGGAGCTCGGCTCTCTGCCAGCAGTACCAAATTGGACTCGCCTCTCCCTCCAACCTTTCTAGGCACTGACTTGTGTTTTTCCCAGTCTTGCCCTGAAGTAAGCAGAGCTCTCGCCCTCTCAGTGCCGCAACGGGCACTCAGCACCTCCCGGGTTGCCGACCCTGTCCGTGCCTCTTTCAGTACGCCCTGAAGGGAGGTTTAATGCCCCCCTTCCCACTCCCTCGGGCTGCTACCTCCCTCCCAGTTTTGGTGTTTCACATCCCCATCCTCTGCCGCGAGTCTCAGGCAGCTCCTCACCGCCTGTCCAGCTCTGAGCCGCGGCATATGCTCCATCCTCCGGCTCACCCCGCAGCCCGGCGGCCCGCAGGCACGACACGGCACGGCTCGGCTTGGCTCGGCGCAGCACGGAGCATCCCGGTGGCGGGACCTCCCCCTCCCTCCTCCCTCTTTTCCCGTTCCTCCTCCCTCCCCGCGGCCTCGAGTCGCGCCAGTGATGGAGAGAGCGTCACCGTCTCCTAGCAGCGCTCCTAGCAACGCTCCTAGCAACCGGGCAACATCTGCTCCCGCTGGACCAATCCGCGCGGGGAACATCTGGGCACCCACCTCCGCGGGCTGCGGCCGGGAGGTGATGCGCTCCTCAGTGGCTGCAGGGACCCGCAGGAGCTGCCACCACCGCCACCACCGCTACCACCACCTCCACCGCCACCACCTCCTCCAGGAGCAGCGAGGGAAGGACGGAGCAGCCCTCCCTCTGGAGCCGGGGCTCGCTGGGTGAGTGGCGCCGAGCCGGGGGGACAGCAAGCTGTGGGCAGTGAAGTGGCGTGGGGCTTTGCTGGTGGGATCTGTCCCAGCGGGTTTAGCAGGTGGCTGTTGGCGGGGAGTAAGTTTTGTGTTTGTTTGTGAGCTCTCGGCTTTGCTGCATCGTGGAAGAGGGCAGAGGGCTGAGAGGGAGGCTCACGCACGTCCCGCAGTGCTATGGGCTACGGGCAGAGGTGCTGCTGCTCTGCCGGACTGTAGCATGCTCTACGAAAGGTCATTTCAATCAGAGTCCTCTTTTTACGGTCAGAGCCGAACTCTGAAAAGTAACCATAGCTCTTCTTTCATTGCCTGTTAATGGTGTCATCCTCTGGGATGACACAACTGTCTAAATATAGTTGTCTTATAGCTGCGAGGCATGAATATGCACACATACATGCTCTTTCTTTCTTGCAGGATTTAGACATGTCTAATTTCATTCATGTGCATAAACAAGTGTGAGTGTCTCTGCACACATATGTGAAAGTGCAGAGTTTAGGTAAACTCATACATATCTGTGATAATTTTTCCCCCAGAGTAGGAGATATTCTTACATGCCAGATACTTTGCCAAGAAGGCAAGGCATCAGCCTGGAAGCTGCACTGTATGTCAGGCAAACACTGAAACATGCACTCTGAAATAACTCTGTTGAAGAGAAATGGGAATATGACTTTCCCCTGGACCTGTATTGCTCTGCAGGCAGTGTGAGTGTGTATGATAGGAAATTAATGTTGTTTCATAGTAGCCCTTTAGCAGTCCTCCGAGGATGACAAGAATTAATGGAGAAAATAACATGCCAATTTAAGAGGTGGTCAGGGCAGAATTCATTTTCTAGGTCCGGAAATGTCTGGATATTTAGAGGAGCAAGCTGTATTTTTGCAGTATTTGCTCTGAGAGGATATACCACTGAGGGACTGAAATGTTTTTTCTTAATGTTTTATGATGATGTTTGAAAGAGATGCCAGGAAGCAAGGTCAAAGTTAGAGAATTGGGTGTGACATCAGAACTCTTATTTATTCCTGTTACTAAGCCCTGTGGGGATGCTGAAATAGCACTTTCTTCTCGTGTGGTCCAGCTACTTGCCATGTTTGTCCTGACTTTGCCACCTGAGCCATGTGTTTCTCCTTAATGCACCACCCCAGGTAACCGTTCAGCAGTGCCGTGCTGCCAGAAATGCTCGCTGAGCCCGTGCGAGGGGGAAATCTTACCAGAACTGCTGAGATTATCCCAGAAAGACCCTTTGCAGACTGACTCCGCATCCTCAGGTAACTAACAAGTTTGCAGACTTCAGCTGGTCGGGCTGAGTGAGGGAATTTACTGGGATTAGTGTTGAAAGGGGGTGAACCCGGAATTATTATTTTGTTCTATTGATAAAAGCAGTGGGACTGTAGGAAGCGAGACAGAATAGCCACTCAGCCATTAAGTCTCGTGCCTTCATGCCCTCATGAGAGCTATTCAGATGCTTGTGCCTTGTACACACGTGTGCCCAGGGAGAATCTGCAATTAGGGAGATCTGCAAAGCAATTAGCCAACTAAAAGGTAGTTTTCAAGTGCAAAGCCAGCAGACAACAGTACGGCTGTGGGTCCCCACCTTTCCGTGAGTCAATGAAAGGGGGCTTACTCTGTCTGAGAGAGGGATAAGGCTCGATACGCTGGAAGGACTGCAATCGATTGGCAGTCCGTGTGAAATCCTAGGGCTGGCATGTGTTTTCGATCCACATGTTCATCTACCTGTGGTCTGGTAGCTTTGCATTATCAACTGGGAATCCCACAGTGGGACCAGCTGCTTATGCTTCCCCTGAAGAGGGGGAAAAGCTGCAGCAGAGCATGCGAAATCAGAGGCAGGTTTCAGCCGAGCACCCCCTAATTGCAAGTGCTCTGAAGGTTAGAGACGGGGGAATTTATCACGGCAGTTTGACAGCAGTCGCAAGGACATGGTGATACGTCCTGCCATGTCCAAGTCACATCTCCCGCCAATAAATAAAGGCCAATTTCTGTGTGCTCAGAAGCCTGAGGTTTTCTATTTGTGCATGCAAGAGATGCTCAGAAATGGTTTCCGTCTCAGCCAGCTTTAGCTTGTATATTGATTACCCTCCTTAGGCTGCGATAGGAACCCTGCAGGGCACCGGCACATTTGAGTCACCACCTCCGTGCGCAGCGGCGGCAGGTCTGGCTCGGGCAGCCGGCTCTGTGCTTACCCCCTGCAGATGTCTGCATCAACACCAAATAGTATCGACTCGTACAACCCCTTTCACTGCAGCACTGAGCAGGCAGGGATGAATTTTCTTCCAGAGAAAAGGTAGGGGAGGTGGAGGCACAGGCAGGTGTGGGGATGCTCCCAAGGGCTCACGGACAAGTTCTGGGACAGAGCTGCTGTGCAGACCGGGGCTTCCAGATCCCTCTCCACTGCCTGAGATGAAAAAGCACGAGATTTGGTTGTTTTTTTTTCTGGCTGCTCAATCATTTATTAAACTGTGTCTTAGCTCCTGTCTCGGCAAGGTTGCAGCCCTGTAGAAATCACCCGGCACTAATTCGTGCCAAAGAGGGGTTCCTGTCACTGGGGCAATGCAGGAGCACAGGGGGCAGATGAAGTAAATTTCTTGCAATTTGCAGTTCAACTGGGAAGTTGCCATGCTATAAATCTATTTCCAACCCAATTTAGATAAGATAACCCTCTGTCCAAACATGCCTAATCACTCTGTGAGTACCGCGCCACAGAGCACCATAATTATTCCCGGAGAAACAAATAGGAACGGACACATTCTGCTCTTTTGAAAGTATAATTAAAGCCCCTGCGAAGCTGCGTTTGAGAGCTCCAAAGCTCGAGACAGAGGCGTCTATTCCGTCCTCACTGCCGCGCATGGGATTTATATTTCAAACTTCCATTAGCGCTAATGGCAGCTGCAGCCGCCGTGCCCCGATGTGCTGATGTGCCGCGCATGCAGAGCAGGCACGGCACCGGCGGGGTGTAAACACGGGGCAGCGTGAGCAGCAGCGCCTGCCCTGGGGCTCCCGAGCCCTCGGCAGCACTTCCCGCTGTTGCAAATTGCACCGAGTCCTTGGTGAGCAGCAGAGGGCTTGCGGCTGAACGCTGCCGGGACGCTGAATGCGCTTTTCCAAGGTTCGTCCAGGCTGGAAGGACAAAGCCCAGGCTCAGGACTCAGCGCTCCGCTGGTTAGTCTCCCCGTGGGGAAATTTGGCCCCGTGCCTTGACTTGTGGTGTAGCTCTGAGAAAAAACGTAATGTGATTAAGATGTATCTGTCTCTGAGCTTGAGTGAGGCAGAGGCAGTGACTCATACCACCTTGCTGTAGCTGTCAAAACACTTGGCTCGCGAGAATAGCCTTCTACACAAAAAGCACTGATTCAATATGTTTATATTTAAACAAAACACTAAGGGTCTGATTCACTGCGGCATTACTACAGCCTGTAACCCCAGCCAAGCAGCTCCCAGGCACGCACAGAGCCAGTGCACGCTGACTTTCAATAAGTGTTAGAGAAAGGCTTGATCCTTGAGAGCCTCCTGCAGGGAGAGGGGCCCCTGGAAGGCTTTAGCATCCGTGCTGGTGTCGAGGGCACAGTGCAAGGCACAGTTCATGCTCTCATTCCCTGCACCTGCAGACAGGTGTGTGGGCATCACTAGCAGACGCAAAACATGACACTGACAATGAGACGGGTGGTGGTGGTGGGATGGTAGCTACACTGAGCACAAAAACAGACCTCAAACTTCTGTGGAGCAGCCCTGGGATGGGACTTGTTTGCCTTCAGCTCACTTTCTCACCCTATAGCTGCAGGTGTGCAGGCAGCACCCCTTCCCTCCCGAAGAGAGGAAGGTAGCAGCTGAGCTGGTCTGGGGAAGTGAGTGCCCCAGGCGCTGCAGATTTGGAACTGCTGGGATTTGTCAAGCGGCTTGAGGGTACTTTGCTCCTAGAGTGTAGTCTTTCATTTAAAAGTGGGAACATATTTAAAGCCAAACTTACAGCCTAGAGATGCTCTTGGTGTTTGCTTGTTCGTTGTTTCCCTTCCTTGCTCCTAAACCAAGTTATGGGGGGGTTGTTACAGCTCTGCTGCTTTAGCTTATGTAAGGTCTTTAGGAGTTTAAATACAGTCAACCACTTTGCACCCAGTGGGTACATCCCAGGCTGGTGCTGAACATAACCCCACAAAAGGGGTGCCAGTTGGATGCTCAATGAACTCACTGCCAGGATGGTCATATATATCCCTCAGCAAAATACAATTTTTCCGTCTGCTCCGGCCAGCCAGCAACAGTCCCCATCCTGTGGCATGTGCTTAAACACAGCCTTCCCTCACTCTCCCCTCCCTCCCAGGGTCAGAGTGCCAGTGCTCCTTCCTTTGTCCCTGCTCTCTGCTCTTTGCTGGTATCTACAGGACCACCTGTGCTCAGGGGATGCTGAGTTTCACAGTGTCACCCTCCATTCTCTGGGGCAGGGAGAGAAATTCCTGTGGCATGGAGCGGCAAAGCAGAGGTTTGTATTGAGCTAGTGGAGCTGCGGAACTGAGCCACGGTGCTCTGTGCACTGTGATTGTCTGTGCTGCCCTGCACTCAGGCTGATTTTCAGTTTATGCTTCACACAGGCAGTACTAGGGCTATGCTCCCAGCTTTTTCCCTGAAAAACTCTAGGGAGCAAGTTAGAGCACTTAGAGTCTTGGTTTGAGGGAAAGGATGAGTCCATGGTTGACTCATCTACCTGTGTGCTGGGTTTGGCTCCTTTCCCAGCCCTGACAGCCTGGGTGGCTACAGGACTGTCGCTTCATCTGTCTATACCTTTGTCTTTCTCAGATAAGTGTGAGGAAAACTGTAGAATTCTCCCATCCCATGGCACTGGGAGATAAACGCATTTGTTGTTGTGCTCAGATAAGACAGCAGTGGGATTTCCACCTAGGAGAACCTAATATCAGCATAATTAAATGTCCAGGCTGTCAGGGCTCTGGTGTAACTCAAATACTGGAATAAAACCTGCAAGCAGTGAAGGTTGCTGCATAAGAATTTAAACCAGTGTTTGCAGCTACTCAATGCCAATGGGGTGGTGAAGACCACAACTGTGCCATTGCCCTGGAGAGCTGAGGTGGATGCAGGGAGCATCTCTGGTGTATGTGGTCATCCAAGGTGATGAGAATGTAGTGTTGTTCCACTGCAAGAGCGATAGTCCGTAACCCAGAGAAATGCTGCTGTTTTGTTCAATCCATGTTGGGATGGGTTCCAGAGCAGGGCTGAGGGGTCTCCACTCCAAATGGGCTGTTAATCCACCAGTCAGGAGTTTTCTGTAAAGATTTGTAACATACTTTAAGAAAAACCTCCCTCCTCATGGACTTGAAATTCAGTGAGAAAGCACAAGAACAGTCTCGTGTGAGGGAATTTCTTCTTCACCCCCTTCTTGTGGGTTTTTGATGTAGAGGAAGGAAGGAAGGAAGAGCACATTGATCCTTCCTGCTAGTGAAGGAGAGATACTGTCAGTCCTTGAAATGGTTGTGTGGGTATCTTATTACTCCCACCTGCAGCTATGACTCAAGGAGTCCCTCATGCCCCATGGCAGGATCCTTCTAATGATGTGAGGTCTGTGTACTAGCTGTGCAATACCCTTTGGCTTTTCTGCTGTGACAGGGAAGCTGTCCAGAACCAAATCCTTTATTTTCTCAGAAAAGTTTCAAATGCTGCCATAAGGAGATCTCAATTTGGGGAAGAGAATATTTCCCATAGGACCTGACTTTGAGTTATTCTATGAAGTGGGTCTGGATACTTTCCCTGAATCGACTTTAGACATCAACATAATAAGTTTTAAAAAATGGTACATTTAAAAGTAAACAACAGAATTTTCTTATAAAAGAGAGAGTGTGGGAATTGATGCCTCCCTCAAGTGCATGTGCCCCCTCTTATTGTCTAGTCGATAGCGAAGCAAAGACCAATCCTGGCTCTCACAGGGACCCAGTGTTCACCAGACTGAGTACCACTGGAGTTATGGACTTCATTAAGATGCTGAATTAACACCATGACACATTTCCATAGAGATGAGAGAGCTCACAACAGCCAGCCAGGCCCGCCTGCAGGAGCACAGGCTGCCCTAGTCCTCTGCAGGGCTCTGCTGTGGGGAACCAGACCTCCACTGGGATCTTTTCATGGGACAAAAGAAAAGCCCAATAGTTCCTTCTCTTAGTCCAAAGTTTGAGCCTTCATCCTCTGTGCCCTGAAAAACTGAAGCAACGCAGAGAACAAACCAACTCCATCACCCTCCCACTGAACTGAGGCTCTGCTGCTTCTCTGAGACGACACTACCATCTAGTGAATATGCTCTGTATTGGTTTTCCAGGGAAGCCACGGAGCTCTGCATAGTGTGTGGAAATCAAAACCCATCCCTTGGGCTGCATGCCCCACAGCGTGGCACACGGTCCTGTCCTGCAGACGGATGGTCCCATCCCAGTCACTCCTTATGGTGACCTTCCCACCTTGGGCATCTCTCTCCTGCTCTGTGATGCTCTGGCTGGCCAGGACAGCCAACTCGGCCTGTGCCTGGTGCTGTGGTGGTCAGTCCAGAGAGGGGCTTGCTGTGCTGATAAGCCTCAGGGTGGGTGTTTCAGAAACGACTTCACATTTGCCATCCTCTCACTTGTTTTTCCAGTGTGTTGAAGGCTGCAGATTGAGGCTGAGTGTTGCCCTGGCTGCATCCCCCCTCTGGACCCCTCTTTCCCCTACACACCCCAGACTGTGATGTTACAGCCACCATGGCAGCAAGCAGTACTGACCTTCTTTTCCCTCTTCTTTTCCCTCTTCTTTTGTGCAGAGCTGATCTGATCAGGGCCTACCAAAGACATTAACGACGTCGAAAGTAGCCTACTTTAAGAGAAAATATGCAGAAGAAGAACATTTACATCAAGATTACCATGAGTATTGTCCAAAAGTGAGTATCTCTCTGATTCCAGACCCCATCCTCCCCCGGTTTCACTCCTTGCTGCTAAAGACCCATTCACTTGCTCTTTACTCCCCAGCACTTGATATTACCAGAGGACCGGACTTGTATCCTAAAACTATCCCTCCAGAAACTCCGCTTCCTGGACGACCCCGAAGCCTATCTCCGTAGGTCTGTATTAATTAACAATCTGTTGAGGAAGATTCACCTAGAGACAGAGAGGGAGAGCTATGAATACTTTAAGGAGGCTCCGTGCTATAGGACTGCTTACTCTGACGCACGAAAACGGCTGAAGTTTATGGTGCAGGAGTGCTGTTCCCAGTCGCTCTATTATGAAGAGCTGCACTCGTATCGCATCGTGCCTTACTCTGCAGAGAACGCCGTTTACGGAATGGGCTACACGGGCAGCCACCTGGAGCAAAATTCTCAGTTGCTTATTTATAAAATGAATTAAAAGTAGCTGTTAGACCCACTGATGTTTGTTTCTGAATGCTTGAACTGCTTACTGAGGTGTTAAGGTGAGGCACTAATTGCAGATCAAAGGCGGATGCGTTGGGAGCTGAGTGGAAGGTACTTTGGATAATGCTCTGCAGCCCCCCGCTGTTAAACCCCCCGGTTGTGAAGTACCTTGCTGTACACAGAGAGCTGGTGCAATACGGAGGTCCTTGCCCGCAGAGACTGCGTGCAGCGCGCTTTGTAGAAACAAAGCTGCATTTTTAAGTTCCCTGTGTGTAGATACAGATGTTCCAAATCACTTTTACAGTTAAATTATGCCATCCCTGGTGAAAGGGGAACTGCCCAAAGCAGTGGAGTAGTCTAACAGTGAGGAGTAAAACACAAGTTATCTACTGTAAAAGTATAGATAGAAAGTTTGTTTGAGGAATGCTTTGACCATGAAGGAGTCAGTGCCAAAGGAATCAGCCTTTAGTTTAGGATTTTCAGAGACTGAACTCGCTTGCTACTTACAAGACACTCTATACTGAGATTTGCAAGGGTTTGTGGGTTGGTTTTTTTTTTAATAATTGCATTCACCTTTTACTTATATTATCTCTTAGCTGGTATCTACTTTGCTATTTTAATAAGAACCAGAATGACTCACAAGAAAGATTGTTTCTTCAGCCCATCATTGATGTTCCCTTAACTTCATTTGCCTCTTTCCCTAGCTGTTTCCCTGATACTTCTTTGCATGCTAATTTGCTGTTTGGCCCGAGGTTCACACTGGTGCTAGGGAATAGACAGCAATTTCTTTTTATGTGGAATATAAAAGGCAGAAAAGCAATGATAACCCTCGTAGATAGAGAATGAATGTATCTGACACATGCTGATAAGACCTCAGAGGTTCTGATAAAACTGCTCAGCATTAGTAATAATGTTTCAGGTTAAGTGAAATGTCTAATTTCAATCTGGGAATTAACTTTAGAAGATGTAAATATATATTTCACAAGCTACGACACGCGAGATGTTCAGCAAATGGAATGACTACAAGTGGAAAGTTTTATAGCTGCCAAAGCTATGTCATGAAAATACCAAAGAGTAACATAAGGGAAAAGATGATGCTCCAACAATGGGGTCAAAAGCAAAGATTGCACTATAATCTGGGGAAATGTGATTAATGAGCCTGTAAATTAGCTGTTAGCGATACACCTGCAGTTCACCCATGAGTGACCTGCATCCCAGAATTGCTGAACAAATATGCAAGATGATTCAAAGCCTGACGAAGTCCTGCAGGTCTGTTGGCTTACAGCAAAGAAACTGGCTTTGCCTCGCTGGCTATCACCACTTTAAAGCTTTAAAGCAAAGTAAATAATAGCGCACACTCAGCTGGAGGCAGATATATATATATATATATATAAAAAAAAGAAACTAATTTTTTTTATTATTATTTTTAAAGGCTTTGCTCGTGCAGATGTGGCTGATGTTATTTCTGAAGCATTATACGGTATGAACAAATACCATGGCTTGCCAGGAACGTGCTTTGTGTCAGATTCCTCCTGTCACCCTGCTTAGAGCATCCTAGTTGTGTGAGTTGCACATATCATCACAGGTCTCAGGCACGTCTTAGTGCAGGAGAAAAGGCAGGAAGGCAAAAGCAAGAGGTGTGAAGAACAAAGTCAACTCTGATATCAGTGGTTAGAAGCCGGTAGAGGTATAAGAGATAGAAGAAAGCAGTAAAATCCAGATATTTTTTTTTAAATAATAATAAAAAAAAGGCAACAGTGCAATTCAAAACAAGGATAACCTGCAAACTGGAGAACATAAACAGCACAGATATTGTGGGAAGGCTGGAAAAACAGGGTTGTGCTGTTTGGGAGGTGCTGTTAGTCATGATGAATGTTCAGGTTTTAGTTTTTATTTTGAGACAAGGCATATTTGCTTGTCTTGTACAAGAGGGTGTCTTTAAATCCTTGGTCAGTGCAATTCAGCATCAGAGCTGCCTGGCTATGTGTGGTTGATTCCTGCTGCCCCTGGGCTTGCACCAGCCCCACATCATGTGAATGGTTAAGCTTTCATTTGGTGTGGTTTGAGAAATCTCCAGTTGAAGGTGGCCGTGCCCACCTCAACAGGGGGCTGAGAGAGGCCAGGCTAATGATCAGGTGTGTGGAACAGCCCCAGTACCACCAGTAGGAGCTGGCAGAGAAGCCCATCTGCTGCGTGGGCTGTGGGCTGGCGAGAGGAAGGCTGTTGTGAGAGGTGCCATTATCCCCCAGGGAGCTCTCTGGCCTCTGGGGGCACCTCACAGGCCTCGTGCTGCCTTAAGGGCTGGGATGGTGGCAGAGGAAAATTGCTCCTGTCTTCTGATTTTTCAAACCATGTAATTTTCCACTCTGAATTGATCTGATTTATGCATTTTTTTCTCTTCATGTCCATTTCACTTGAATTCATAATGATCTAGCAGCTACATGAAACGCTAAAGTGCTTCTTTTCTCTCACCGACTGACTTTATTATACTCGTAGGATGGTTCTGGCTTGAATAAACAAAACTTTTAACTTAAAATTAGTAATGTTTCAATGAAATAAAAAAAGCTCAGTAGGATCAAAGTCTTTAACCTCACTTGGAAAAAAAACACTGGCCCTGTCAGATTCATCTTTGAAAAGGTTCTTTGCCTACTGGAAGAGGCAGATACTCTCTTGCCTATTGAAAGCTTCTCTGATGAGGTGTTAAGATAACTGAACGCACATAATAGACAAAAATCCGCATCAGATCACAAAACTCCTAGGACAAAGGATGATATTTTACTCTTGTTTTTCTCATGTGTTATTTTCTTGAGCAAAAAATATTGTTCAATTTTTTAACTTTTACTTGCTCTCAGAGCTGTTCAAATGGATTATTTCTTTCTAGAGAACAAATTGATTTTGTTTGGTTGACTTATTGCTAGCAAATTGAATCAAAGGTCCCCAATTCTAAATGTTTTTAGTCTACTTTAGTTTTTACTGCCTTCCACTTTGCCCAGTGATTGGTCCTGTTGAAAAGTGGATTTGAAGGATTCTACTTTAGTACTAAAAAAACATATTTTATGGGGTGATAAAGAAGTACAGAGGTGCAATAACATTGCAAGTGACTCCCAAAATATTTAATTGTACAGCTTTTGAACTATATACTGATTTTAACATTTAGTTACCAAGTTACTGGGTACCAGCACTTTAATACAGCTACATACAGTGATTTTTCTTTATGGGGTTTGTAGCTACAATTCAGCTCTTCTGGCTTCTGATGTGTGAATCTGTCTGTAGGTGGTCAACTTTCAGTGAGATATATATATATATATGTTCTATTATGACTGCATTAGGAACTCCTACATATGGGCTATGTTTGCACTGGATGTAAAGAAAGTCCTTCCTTCCCTTTGACTCAGTTGCCTTGGAGATAGAATATTCATTGGAGAGAATATAAATAAGCTGGGAGACAAGGACAGACTTGGTGATGAGAGCTGATCATTTAGAAAGTGACTGGCTTAGGACGATTCATTTTCACCTTGGAATAGCAGCACACTGGGCTGTAATTAGTGTTTCTGTGAGTTAAGTTTTCTTTGTGTTGCTTTTCCCTACCTGATTGGACATGTTGATGGATAGTGGGGTGGCTCCGTGGCAGGCACAGTGTGGGTGTCATGTCTCTGCCTGTACAACCCGGTGATGAACCCCAACATATTGCTTGAGCAACTTGGTCTAGTGGAAGGTGTCCCTGCCTATGGTAGGAGGGTTGGAACTGGATGGTCTTTAAGGTCTCTTCCAACCCAAACCATTCCATGATTCTATGATTCTATGATATTAGGGCTCTGATCCTGTAAATGCTTCAGTTATCATCCAGTGTCCTTGCACAGACCCTCTTGCCTAAGCCCAAGAGGCTCCTTGTGTGCTTGATGCTCAGCATGTCTATGAGCCTGTGCAGGGCTGGGGCTGCTGGTTCTCCTCAATTGCCTCATTATCAGTGAAAGTGATTATCGAGCTGCCGCTTGAGTTCTTGACTACATTTATATTGCACTGTAAATTGAACTTTTGTTTTCAATGAATGTGTTGAGTATATGGACTATTGTGCCTTAAAGTCCCATCCTCATGCGAGCCTTTGTAAACGTTCTGTAAATCTGCAAACCGTCTATTGCTGATGACTCTGTGCACTCTATACAGATCTGATTTGGTACTTGGCAGGACCTTGGGAAACCCAACCCTGACCTCAGTTTGCCGTGAACACAGAGGGGATATGCCAATTCCCTCTCCTCTTCTTTTTTCTTTTTTTTTTTCAGATTGTTTTCCTCTTCACTGTTCATGAAATTCTGTTTTTCTGGTTTCTGTCATAGCTGGGTTCTGGGTCACCTACAGCACCAAGAGCCCCTTGCAGGAACTCAGAAAGTTGTAAAAAAAGTTGTCTCCAGCTTTTAAATGCCACCTGTGGGCGTGCTCTCAGGAGGGAATCACAGCTGCATATAACAACTGTGGCAGGTGTTGTCAAGTATATCATCATATATTTGACATGATTAGCAGAGTAGAAAAGGGAACACCTATTTCTATTGAAACGCATGAGCCTGCATAATGTTAAATACATGGTGATTATGCACCAAGTAATTGGAATAACACCTACTGGTTCTGTAACAAAAAACAGCTTTTTAATGTTTAAAATTACCTGGGACCTGATTGAAGGTTTTTATGAAATTGTTTTCTAAAGTGAATAGTAGAAAAATGTATATGTATTTTAAATATACGTATGATGTGCATGTTATTAATAAAGATCTATTTCTATTGAACAAGATGGACTCTTGTTGAATGTATGTTATTTGGTTTAGAAGTTAATATGTAATGTTACTAAAGAAAGGTTTCTAACACCATTAATCCCCTGAAAAACTTATAAGCTGCAGATTCTTTGAGGGTGAACCTGGGGCTACTCCTTTGGATGCTCTGCAAACCCTGGCAATCACTTGTCCTGTCCTGATCCCACTGTTTGCATCCTAACTTGCCTATGGCCTTACAAAGCCCTTCCTCTTTTCCTTGTTTATTTATTTAATTTAAAAATCTGCAAGAAACCATTTTTCTAATGATATTCTGCAGGGCATCTTCCAGATGCTGTCAAAGGGTGAAAGAAAAAATAGTTAGCTATTAAAGCAGTTCAGGAAAATGGTATTTTTTACTAAATGTCCTGAATATAATGGAAAGATCACCATCTTCCTCCTCCTCAGGGATTTTCTTTAGCATTGTTTTCTTGAAGAAGCTGAAATGAAACACTGAAAATATTCAAAAGGTACTGAAAAGGAGAAATATTTACAAAAGGAACTTTCCCCTGCGGGCAGGACCCTCTTGAAGCAACCACAGGGAGACATTTTCCAGGGCCAGGTGCTTCAGCTCCCATCTCCAGCCAGGACTTGGGTACCACTTGGGGCTGCAAGTCCAGGTTTTTTAAGGACAAAGCTTTGCAAGTGGGTGCCATAGGCACAGCAGTACACCAGTCACCTCCTATGATGCTGTTGCATTAAGAGACAACAGCTGGGTGTTGTCAACCTGAGGACAGCTCTGAAATCACTGACCCTGAGTCCCCTACATACCTCATCTGGATGTAGTGTTACCAGGATTAGCAGCCACCACCCAAATCCTGAAATGTTTCCTGTCTCTGAACCACTCTTCTTTCAAACCAAAGAGCCTTACCTAGACCTTGGCATGGGGATGTGCATGACTTAGAGGAATGGGCTTCTTGCTCCATGCCTGCAGGTTTAGCCTGTTTTCTCCCCATATAGTGTGTGAATGACCAAGGGTCTCTGGGGTGACATATCCCTGTCACAGAGAAATATATTCAAATGGCCTAAATTCCTCCTAGATCCTTGGTAGGAGCAGCCACCTCTGAGGATTCACCACACTGGTAGGAGATACTGGGCCTTACTTGGTCCAACCACAGAAATCACTGCTTTAGTGTGGAAATAAAAGACAGTGGAGCAGCTTCACACCTCTCAGCACAGACATACCGTGTTGTTCAACATGTGCAAATACTTTCCCACTATGGGTATTTTCAAAGTCCTGTGAATCATCCTGCCACAAGGCAAATTCAGCTGCAGACTGAAGGTGGGGTGTTCTATGCTAATTATTCTGCTGCTAAAGGAGGTGGCGAAAGCACCGTGGCCAGACCACCGTGGGCTTGCTTTGCTTTCAGCAGTATTTTCTCATTTAGCTCTTTACAGCCATTTGCAGCCACTTTGAACCAAAGCAGCTTTTGGGTTGTCCTACCTCGGCACTGCCAGCCCAGACTCATGGAACAGCTGGCACAGGACCCAGGGAACCAATCTGAGAGATGTAACTCACCATTACATCCCACACTCCATGCATTTCAGGGCTTAATTAATTCAGGCCCTAAGATAAGCAGCGCTGATAGTCAAACTAGGCGATGCTTTGAGGTCCTGGCTGCAGAGTGCTGCAGAGCCCTGCAGCATCCCAGCTCTCCTAGTCCAGCAGGGAGTCCTGCTCTGCCTTGCTGATGTGCTGTTGATGGGAAATTATCCCCACTTGGGCTGAGTGGTGCCAAATTGTGGCTCTTACCAATGGAAGGCGGCTTTTCCTGACACAAACTGCTTAGTGGAAATTGTTGCCTATCTGCTGCAAGGAGGTTTGTCTGTAACATCTGCTGTCAGGGTAGAGGAAGAGCGGCTGGAAAGGTAAAGATCTTTCTCCCTGTAAGGTGCCAGAATCCCCTGTTATTGCTCTCCCATGTTGTCCTTTGAAGCTCAGGACCATGCAGACATTTCAGGTCCTGCATGACCAGCTCTAGAGGGTGATGCCCCACCACAGCTGCAGCCTTCGGCTCATGGAATCAGTGCTGTTCCTGATGATCCCAAATGAGTTGGGCCCTTTTCTTACAGCATTAATGTAAGTAGCTATTTTTCTGCAAAATTTTGAGTCTAAGGCCAGTGGGCACCTTGGTACCCTTTGGGGGCAAAGGTCCATATGCAGATAGTCGAGGTGAAGACATGTCTGCTCTGGAGGAGAACCAGAGACTGTCTCTGGTTGCTGCACAGACGGGTGGGCTTCAGAATGGAAAGGCTGTTGTGGTAGCACTTGAATTAGAACAAAAAAAAATCTGTGCTGGAAGAGGTGGAAGCTCTCAGCTCTCAGGAGCCTTGCACTTGCTACCAAGGAGTTACTCTCCTCCTGGAATTGTTTTACCTTTTGTGTCTTGGGACGTGGGTCTGAGTGAAGCAGTGACCAGGGGCTGATGGACCAGCTCAACAGCGTCTGCTCTAGTTCCACTTGAGATAAAAAATCAATGCTGTGAGCGTTGGGAGGGAGACTTGCCACAAGGCTGAAAAAGCTCAGTGCATCTTGCATTTGCAGTTCTCAAGGCTGGGATCACCTGGAAAGTGAGGGCAAGCTGCAGCTAACAAGGGGCAATAGTAAGTCAAATGCTAATATCTCTGGTGACTGAGTCTACCCTGCAGCACACCTTGTCCTTCCTATTCTTCCCGAGGGGTGCAGGGCAGGCTTTGTGCCTGAAGATGGCACTGCTATATTGAAGGATTTCAGGAAAATTGCTGTAATGAAGCTGAGTGTAAAACCAGAGCTGTTGAGGTGAGCTCAGGGATGGGTGCAGTGGTCGGCGCTGATTGGCTCTGGACTCGAAGGACCCCGTTTCCCATGACAGCAGCCCCAAACCAAGGCTTTCTCTGTACCTGTTTGAAATATTATTTGGAGTTTTTCCTTAGCGTTCCTAGCGTTTGTCCCCTGACAGTGTCCAAATCTTGCTGGTTTGGTGTAAACTCTCTCCTCTACTCTCTTAAGAAGTTGTAGGGTGTATATTAGTTGCTGAACTCTACAGAGGTCTGATGGGAGCACAACAAAATGCAAGGAGCTGCTCTGACTTATTCATGAGGGATGATTCCCTTCTTGTCCTGGTGGTAAGAAGGTGGATGGGAGTGTGACCCAGGCTCTGCCCAGGGGCTCACTTCAAGTAAAACAGGGGTGGTCAGAGCCACAAGGTGTAAACGAAGTTGTCTTTCCTGTGCTCACGTCCTGCTCCCTCTCTCCTTCTCTTCTTGAACGACTTGAAGTAGCAGCAAATAATCTCTGTGTTGCACAGGTAAGAATTAGACAACAGAGTGATGGAATGATGACCCCCACTGGCCCCTGGATGCCCAAGGCGTCCCAGATCTATTGTCTGACCATCAATACTGGCCCTGTTTCATTGCAAAGGTGTGCAAGTTTGGAGCTGGCTTCCTGCCAAGTCTCCGAAACTCGACAACAGGGTCTCCTTCCCAGAGAGGGAAGGAAAAAAAAAACGAAAAAAAAAAACAGGCAGCCAGATGGGAGACTGACTGCAATCAGGGTGAAATGGCAGTGATGTCTTCTAGGGATTGTGAACATGAAGTAGCCTAAAGGCAGTGTCCAACCTGAGCTTGGTGGTTTGGGCATTACCTGCATGCCAAGAGACCAAGCAGGCAGGGTTGGGACTGAATTAGGATGGAAGGGTGTCCTGATGCACACCCTGCAATTAGTTTGAAGGGCTCCTGGGCAGAAGGACACCATCCCAGGTCAGACGTGGGTGAAAATGGAGAAGCCCTGCTCCTCTTAAAGCCTTGTGTGCCTCAGCTTTGTGCTGAGGTCTGCCTGTCCTCAGCTCCTGAGCCACAGTCCTTGTGGGATGGAGCCCACTTGCCCACTTGGAGTGGGTCTGGATTTACTGTTTTCTGTACACTGGCACCCCCAAATGCCACCGAGAGAGAGAAGAAGCAGCATTCTTTGCCCATTACTATGACTCTGCCTCTATGCACACACAATAAAAATTCATAGCTGTCTGTTTTTATCTTGACCACTGGAGGGCTGCATCTACCTGCAGACTCTATTTAGGTTACATTAAACCCACAGCACCTGTCACCTTGTGAGATATCTTGTACCAACGTAATTGGGGAAGGCTGAAAAGCAGGAACTGTTTTCTTTGGGGAAAAATCTGACTGTAGACTTCATTGGTTTGCAGTGAAAGTGCTTTTTTCCCTATTGGAAGCTTTGTGGATAGTTCTAAAAAAGGCAGTGGGTTGGGAGGGAAAGAGGGAAATTGCTTCAGGACAGTAGGGCTGTGAAAATAGGAGCATTAGTTTGTTTTGAACTGTGTTCCCTCTTCCATAAATTAAATATTAGGGCCATATGCCATTGGAGTCAAAAAGGTCCTTGATCTCCTGAACATGCCCCAGGCCATTTATTTCTCTGTTGTTCCTGAACTGGAAGGTGGTACCCTGTGGCTCAGCCCCTCTGGTCTCCAAACCCAAGCCCTTCTTGGTCCCCTTTGGCTCAGCAGGTTTGTGCAGAGCCCACACAATGGGCTGAGCTCCCTTTTTCTGGTTAACTCAGAGGAGCGAGATGTGCAGTTGAGCACCAAGAGCTTGACAAGTGAAATGTCTTATCTGCAGATGTATTACAGTGTGCTGAGGAGCTGTGCCTCTCCAGGGGTCTCTGCTCAGGCTGTTGTGGGGTTTTATTTTCCAGCTTCACACAGACTTTGCAGATTTCTATTCCAGCTTTGAATTTCTATAGCTTGGAGACACAGCATTGCTGCCAGAAACATGAGCAGCAAGCCAGGTATTGCCTCAAGCTATATCTGTCCCCTTTTAGCTGCAGGATGGTGTCTGTGAAGTTTGATGATTGACTCTTGGGGAGTGCTTCCCTTGGGATGACTGCCTCAGTGGCTACTCACACTTACCAGAGTGACTTTGTTGCTTGCCCAGTTGGACTTGTCACCTCTTTCTCATGCCATCTTGGGCTCACACTTCCAAGGGTT